AGGGGTCCAATGTTACCCCGAGACTTCTTCTTGCTACCTATATACTTGAAGAAGGACTTTTTGTTATCCTTAATCCCAGAAGCTAATCTAAGCTCCAGTGCTGCTTTAGCCTTCCTCACCAAATCCCTACAAGCTCGGGTCAGGGAGGTGTACTCCTCCTTTGTCCCTGCCCCCTGCTTCTACCGCCAGTACGCTTTTTTCTTTGCCCTCAGGCCAGCCTGGATATCCGCGCTCAGCCATGAAGTTTTCTTGGACCCTTTTCCTGCCTTCCTGTGCAGAGGAATTGCGTCCTGCTGCGCCCCAAGGATAGCCTCCTTGAGGAAAGACCACCTTTCCTGGACCCCCATACTAGCTACACCCTTTCACCAGGACAAAATTTAAATGACAGAAACTGCTGCTACCATATTTCCTCACGTATAATACACACTCCAATTTCTAGCATCCAGTTTTTTGGGGGAAAAGGTATGTGTTGTATGAGAAAAAATATGGTATATTCACATGCTAATGACACCCACTTTTTTCCTGGAGCTGAGACAAGCATACTAATATGTTTTCTCATGTAGTAGCAGTTCATCAAAAGGTACCTGAATTGATGCCCTGGGCATGATTAGGAGACTATTGGATATTTTAAATTAAAAACTTCAGGCCCAGATGCTTATTTGGAGGGGATAAGGAGGTGATGACCTGCGATGGTGTTTAGCTGGCCACAAATGAGACCAAATAAGAGAACAACAATGGTCAGATTTCTCACTCTTCTACAAATACTCAAACCTACCAGTTTAACCTATTTTAAATTCACTCTTTTTGGCACATTACTGAAGAAAAGGGCTGTCACCTGTAGGTCTAACAATGCAGCACTGTCTCCCCACAATTTCGTACCATTGGCATTACCAGCACTTCATATCCAGAAGCACAAAAAGAAAAATCAAATAGATGCTTGTTTATATTTGGTGGAAGCTCTGCTAAATTAATTTAGTTGTCATGGGCAGGTACTATATGCATTACTTCCTAATGCTAAAGCATCATTCTATTATAGAATGCCACAGCAAGACAGGAACAGGAATTAACTCAGGATTTATCTTGCTACAAGATTATCAGTGCAAGAACATTTCAATGAGAAAATGAATAATTTGCTACTCTGATTATTATGATTAATTCTTTTACGTCAGCAGCTCCTGGCATAGCCATTGACAGACACAGATTTCAGGAGAGGAAAATCAGACTCCCAGAGCCAAGAGCCCTACGAGGGAATGTAGTTCCACTAATAAAAAAAAAAAAATTAAGTAATATTAAGAGATGAAACAAATAAATATGATATTAAATATAATTGAAATAGCACATGCCCTTTCTGCAATTTTTTAAGACTGCAGGCTGAGGGGGGACTTCGTGACCGTCTATAAACTCACTAGAGGGGACCAGAAGGGCTTGGGGGAGACCTTGTTTCCCCTAGCGCCCCCTGGCATAACAAGGAATAACAGCCACAAGTTGTTGGAGAGTAGGTTTAGATTAGACATCCGTAAGAACAACTTCACAGTTAGGACGGCTAGGATCTGGAACCAACTTCCAAGGGAAGTGGTGCTGGCTCCTACCCTGGGGGTCTTTAAGAAGAGGCTTGATGCCTACCTGGCTAGAGTCATCTGAGCCCAGTTTTTCTCCTGCTCAGGCAGGGGTTCAGACTTGAAGATCTACAAGGTCCCTTCTGACCCTACTTCTATGACTTCTATGATATGAAGACTTTGTTCCAACACTTAATTATTTTGCTTCTAAAGCATCAGTCAAAATCAGCAGCTACTCGTATTTCATTGGGCCAGGGTATTCACCATCAGAAGTTTCTAGGCCTCACAAAGTTAGGCCTGTATTACTAGGGTTGACTTCAGAAACAATCACTATGCTACCTTGGTCAGTGTCCTTACTGCAATGTTTGCCAAAGTCTGGACTGCACTCCAAATTACAGTCTGAAAGACAAGCCAAGGAAAACTGGAAAAGTGGAGGCTGAATGAAACCCAGGATGGTTCCATTTTTGAAAAAGGATTCCACTTTAAAAAAGTGGCTTCCCTCATTTGCCTTCTAAGCATCATATGACTGCTCCAGGTTGTAAATCACCTCTAGGACATCCTCTCACTCAAGTCAGTCATAACCAAGGTGCTCTGGGAGTTTAGTTGTTTTGACTTTAGACGTATCTACATTTCCATACTTACTACAGATTTGGGATGAGATAATTTATGAAAGCTGGTGAGTGGAACTCATTGATACTCCTGTAAATCCTCCTTTAGAGATTTATCGTCTTCCAGTGCTTTCCAAAACCAACAAATGGAACACCTATTGAAATACGTAAACCACCTTCTTGACTGACAGCTAGACAGGATGGAAATGTCAGAGATAAGCTAAAAGGCATAACTGTGGCTATTTCTTGGCTCTGTTTTGCCAAGAAATCCAAATTAGGCAATTCTAGTATGATTAAATGCTGTATTTAATGGGATTTGCACCATCTTTTTCTGATCTATAGTAGAGTATATATTTTCAGAACACCAGCACTACAGTATCCAGGTTGTCTGCAACAAGAAATATATATAAGGGATGCCTTATGACAAAGATTGTGCAGTAAATGTTGTGAAGGGTTCGTCCTTAACTTCCAGTTGTTATTGTATAACTTCGTATTCTGCTGAGTCAACAGCTATGGTGACGTTCTGGCCAAATGGCTTCTATTGCCAAAAGCTTCTCAGTCTTTCGTATACTTACAGCACCCTCATGAGATACATAGATAGATAGATACACTTAGAATCCCCATCTTGTTTATGAGAAAGTAAGGGACAGAGAATCCTAAATTCCAGTCTTAGCAAGGTATCCAGTAATACCTTACCAGTCAACACTTTTAAAACCGTAGGTGATAAAGTAAATAACTGATTAACTTTTGATCCCCACTTCCACCCCACAATTCCTTGATCTTTTAAGCAGGAATCATTCAACTAAACTACAAATGCATCAGACAGAAAATGGCTAATGCTTGCCAATTCAAAACCCTTAGCTCTTTTTAAAGTACCATGGTACAGCTGAGCAGATCAAAGCACCTGGCAATAATGCAAGGTGGAGCAAAATGGGCAACTTGAATGGGAAGGGAAGAGGAAGGGAGGACAATTTATGAAAAGCTACGAAGAACAATTGAGCAGGAATACAGTAGGCAAGACAAAGTGTGTGCGCATGCCTGCATGAAGAAGCCTGAAGGAAAAAAAATAATTATTTGTAGGTACACAATATCATTTCCAACTCTTATCTAAATTAAATTCTCTTAAATTTCTCTGAAACCATTTCTTGGAAGAGAGAGTGTGTGTGTGTGTGTGTACACATGTGCTCATATGAAAGCAGCAAACTATTCCTAATATTTTGATTTAAAAAGCACCAGTGTTCGTCCTACTGTGTGTATCACCACTTCTTAGGTGGTTGCAACACTGCCATGTACCTAGCGCATCTGAACAGCATGATATTCCACCACGACTCATTCAAGTATTTTGTCATCTTAATTAATCACACCTAGGATTTTTGGTTCTTACTGAATCTTTGATTTTATTTTTCCTGCTACTATGTAAGGGGAAGGAATGGAAGAGATCAGTTGCTTCTTGACTCCACTGCAAATAATGACGATCTATATCAAAAGCAAGACTGATGGATTTAATGCACAGTGTGCCCACGTTAACATTTTTATTGTGATTAAAATTTTTGATTTTATCCATCTAGGTGGGTGTGTATAACTTCCCAAAAAGGCAGGAAATGATAATGTTCAGGAAGCACATTGAGGGGAAAGATATTGATCTATCCTGCCTAAATTAAATAGTAATTATACTTGAATTTTAATTTATATTTTGAGTGCGATGGCCTGCAACAAGGGCTTTCCAAGTGTTCAGTATAGATCAATATTTATGAAAATCTGCTATGGAATGAAGCTGACTCTTATTATTTAGGTCAAAAAGAATACAATCACCCACTTCTACCATTACTATAAATTTATGAAACTAGATAACAGAATATAAATCAAAATTACTGAAGAAAAATAACTTAATTTCTGGAGAATGGAAACAAATTTCTTTACATTCTCACAGGCCCAACTTGGTAGGAGAGAAAGCATTAAGTTGTTACAGTCTGTCACATGGAATCAAAAACCACTACAGTGTTGTTCACCTGTTCTCTTCTCCAAGCTGTCACTTTATCTTGAATTTTTACAGAAATTCCATACTCTTTCCCTAATAAGCTTTAACACCGAAGTGCCTGGCACAGCTATTCTAGTGTGCGCACACACAATTCATAAAGCAAGCATTATATTTATTCCTTCCATGCTCTGTACTTCCCAACAAGTAATCTCAGTCGTCAGGTTCCTCATAGTGGGCATAGCCACTAGCATATGTCCTTCCTAAATTCAAGTTACTGAATAAATCTGTGGTCTCCGATTCAGAATCCTTCCCTCCATCATCATTGTCTTCCTCCTCATCATCTTCTGCTTCATACTCATCACATTCATTGTCATGATCACCTGTATCCCCAGTCTTTGCAGATGATAGGTTCTTCCAGTAGTTGTCATATCCAGAAGCTCCATCTGCCTCGTCACCTCCAGTCTGCCGGCCAAATTTCAGAGAGCGTGCTGCAGAGAGAAATGGTGAAGTTCTTATTTCTCAGCAGTCGTTAGATCCTAACTTATCAATGGAATGGTTGACATTTCTCCATTTCCTCCATTTTCACCATCCCCACAGATTCAAGTTTAAACAGTAATTTCCAGGAAAATGGGTTCCTGAAAAAAGAGTTTTTTATTTTAAGATTTAATCCTAAAGCTCTGTCCTATGACATTACCTCTCTCCCCACTTCATCTCTTACTTAAGAAATGAGCCTTCACACCTACAATAATGTAACTGATTTCCCAATTAAATCATAAATTTTCACGAATCCAGGACCAGGACTTTGGCTGTAATATAATAAATCATGATATGTACTGTATATATGCAGCACCTCAGATAATGTTTTCATGAGTGATCTATGTTGAATTAGCAGACTTGTACGAGCATCATCAAATAGACTTCCTGACTTTAGTAGCCTCCTTTTTAATGGTGAAATAAGCAGGGAGCATTGAAATGAACAACAGTTCTTTGAAATTGTTTCTGAAGCCAAAACTTGAAAGTAATACATGCAATTCTTACTGGTTTCAATATTAATGTTTTTTTAGCAGCAACTCTAACAAAAGAGATCCCATAGTTCAACCTCAGCAGCAAATAACTGAAACCAAACCCTCTCAAAAGAAATGCCCAAAGCTTCCTAACACATGTTAAAGCAATTAGTCTGAAAACCTATTCAGTATCCCCAACTATACACAGTCAGCCACTGACAGTAATATATGCTACCATTTTAACCAGGTGATCACATTAAATTTCTAAGCACATAAAATAAGTCTCCTAGCAAACTGACTTGCTAAACCATACAAATAGCATTTGTTCCATTAGCCTTTCAAGCACAGCCCTTACTTGACATGCTCAGATCCTTTGTCTGCTGAGTTTCATGTCCACATTTAGGGCAGGGAGGCTCTTTTCCCTTTTCTTGCTTAAAAACCTTGCTTCGTGTGTGATCATCACAGAAACAAGCCTGTAGGGTGAAAAAAACAGAATAATAAAAAGAATAAATACTTTAATGATAACCACAGAATACTCTCCAGCAAGGAGCAGAAAAAAGAAAAGGCATTTTAACAGAAACACGGTAGTCTGGTTGAGACTAAAATTTCAATTAGATCTTTCTGTAGAAAGGCCAGAATTCATACACAATCCACACAGATCTGCTTCTACATTGGATTAAATCTATACACAGACATTACCAAAAGATCAGTTGCAACAGGATGAGTCCCAGCATAGATCTACTTGGTTGGGCAAAACCCACTACACCCACTGTGCCTCGTGTTGATCATGTGTGATAAGTAATAATGTTTCCTCACTTCCAGAAACATGCCCCTCTGCATCTCTGGGATGCATCTCTAAGCATGGAAAGCTGGGGTTCTTCACTTAAAGAGATGCACCCTGGAGATCTCAGGAGTATGTCTCTGTAAGCATGGAACCTCAGCTTTCTCCATTTCCAGAGACATGCCCCAGGGGCCCCATCTCCAAGTGCAGAAAGCTGAGCAGGCACTGCTGGGACTTCAGAGCATGCAGGACTGGGACCCTCAAGCCCCAGAAGCACCTGCCCAGGATGGCTGGAGATTGCAGGCCATTCTGTTGCCTGTGCTCTCCCACATAAAGCAAACAGATATCTGCCAAGATAAAGCAGCACAACATACTACCTTTCGTCACAGCCATGGATTTGGACATTTGTGGTGTGACAACAGGTATGGATGTCTATATACTTTCGCTTTGTGCCACCTTAATGTTTTTTATGGTAATACAAACACAATATCTGTTTCTAGCCAAAGTCCCATTGCTGTCTAGAGAAAAGAAGATGGATAGAGGATAGCCCTGAAGTCTTGGACTGTCTA